TATTGCTTTGGCCTCTTGCTAATCTGTTCTCACCTTTGTCCAAGTCTTATTACACAGTATTTGTAATAGTTTAAGCACCAGTGCAATAATTTACTTGCACCCTAAATATTTACTTTTTATATATATATTTAAAACGGATGAAGCAAAGTTTTGTGTGTTAACTTGCTAATATTTGCTAATTAGCACTAAACAAAGTTTGGCTGAATGAATGTCACTTCTGGCTTTTTCCCATTTGGGGTCACCACAGCAAATTTGCACACTGACGATCTGCATGTTGACATTTGGCTTGTGTTGTACACCGGATGCCCTTCCTGACACAACCCTAACTCGAACCCAGGCCGCAGCGGCGAGAGCACGGCGCCCTAACCACTAATCTATCAGGGAAGCCCACCAAACACAGTGTGGCTGAGAATCTGAGAATATGAGAATAATAGAATGGTGTAAAACTCTTTGCAGGTTTTTGGTTAAGAGCCAAAGTAATAGACAAATTGCAGTTATGACTCAGTAATAGTGCCAGGTGAAAAGGGTCTTTCTATTACAGCCTGAGTGCATGTTCAGCCTGCCACAGAGACATATATAAATAAGATCAGGTTGCATGGCCTCAGATCTCTGCTTCACTATGTAAGCTGAAATGTGTGAGATTGATTCTATGTTGTGCCCTGAGCTGTCTAGGAGACATATTGACTTAAGCTGTGTCCTATTCAGAACGGAGAGCGGCTAAACAGCAGACGCTTTCAGTAATGGGCTTATGCCTTTTTGCAGTTAAAGGACTTTGAGAGCAGAGAGCATAAGAAAAATAATTTCTGGTTTGATGAGACAAGAACTGTACTCTGGGCAGAGCTCTGAGCACTATGTCTAGTGAACATCAAGCACTGCTCATCACCTGATTAATACCATCCCTATGATGGAGCATTGTGGGTGGGGTGGGGGGCTTCTCAGCAGCAGAGTTGCAGGGACAGGGAGACTAGTCAGAACTGAAGGAATACAGCCACATACAGAGAGGTTCTGGAAGAAAACCTGCTCCAGAATGAAGAGACCTGAAACTGGGGCAGTGGTTCACCTTTCAGACAATCACCTGAAGCAAACAGCCAAGACAACAGTGGGGCAGTTTCAGGACCACTCTCTAACTGTCCCCGAGGGGCTCAGGCGAAGCCCAGACTTAAACCCTATAGAACATAACTGGAGAGACCTTAAGGTGGCATTTCAGAAACTTCCCATCCAAACTGGTGGAGCCTGAGAGGATCTGCCAGGAAAAACATGATAAACTGCCCGAACTACAGTACTTCTGTACCCTGATTGGCTAGTTGCATATCTGTCTAGTGCTTCTTTTTTATTCCTTACACAACAATCTGTGACACTTCTCATGTCAGTCTTCTAGAGCTGTTCCCCTCAGTAGCCTGTGTGAACAACCCAGGTTAATGATTATTAACAAACATGATGAGATTGTCTGAAAGCGCACAATTTATTTTTACAGGGTGGCTGGTCAGTAGCTGAAAAAAGTCTCAAATTTAAAAGTTTAGAGTGATTTATTTCACCCTGCTCAAGGGTGAAATAGATTGCTTTTATGCATGTTTGTGCTTACTTTTGCTAAAAAATAATCATTGATAGATAAATTAATATTTTCTTTGGCGTTACAAGCAAAAAAAACACACAATAATTTTGTTTAGGCCTGGTAATAACCCTGTGATGGTGTTGGTCAGTCTTGTTACCATGGAAACCTGATAAAATCTATTAATGCTGTTATAAAGCCTATAATAAAATATTTCAATGTAGAAAGGTAATACCTAAGTGTGAAGTGTTTTGAAGTATGTAATTAGGTTTTGGCCCAGTGATCTAGGCCGTAAAGTCGTAAATCATGTCTGGACACCTCAGTTTGACAGGTGCTGTACTCTATTACTGTCTCACACTATAAGGATTTTATATTTGGTTTGGCCTGGTACCTTATGGGAACCCTCCAGGAGCAGCTGGAGGACAAGTAGCCAAACTTGCTAAGCAAAAAATGAAAAATGGATGAAAGAATGGATGGATGCTAAACAATAAAGAGACATTTTAGAGCATTTAATCCACCATGTCTCTTGAAATGCTGGAGAAAGCAAGAGCACTGAGAGAAACCCCACAGGAAGTAAACTCATGTAACCTCCTCATTTTTCTGATGTTGGCTTTGGCTGAAAGACAGGCCTGCTGCTTTGGGCTGAAAGCCTGTTTTCCTGAACCACCCGCATTGGACGGCACTATTTGGGTATCACCTCCAAACCGCACTTGTCTAGATGCCTGTACATTCTGCTAAAAATATAAAACAGCTATGTGTAAATAAGTTCAGATTATATAGTTATGTGTTTGAATTAGGTGCACAGGAGGAGAACTGGACAACTGGAATTTCACTAAGTCTTATCTTTCCTTTTTCTTCTTTATGTATCGCATTACCTACGCATCTTGGTGACAGCACAGCATAACCAGAGATCTGCAAATTCCACAGTGATGACAGCAGCTACTGCAAAAGTACTCTACAACCCTACATCAAATAGAAAGATATCCTTGTTAGCTCACGTAACCACAGGTGATGAGGTGAGCTTGCATTGCCATGTTTCTACATTCAGAAAAAGCTGACTTGTAACCATTGAACCACAGGTCATCATTAGATGAAACTAGATGGATTTTACCCCTTAACTCTGAATAAGAAGGAATGACAGCAATCAGACTGTCTGTGAAAAAAGCAAGCAAACAAAAACAAAACAAAACTCACTATTCGTTTTGTATTAGCTAATGCAAGGAGCTTTTTCCATCACTGAGGTAATGCCTATCTGTCATGTACATACAAGATCAGTTACATGTCACACTGGAAATGTTGCTTATGTGTAGTTCATTCCTTAAGTTGTAGGAATAGTATGTTCAACCCAACAAGTCCTCCAACCTATATGACCTATATGGTCATTTGTCCCTTTCTTTTCATACAATCCATAGGGGTGTCTCATTAAAGAACTCTTATGGTGGCAGGAGGAATTGCAGCAATATTGCCAACATTAACAACAATGTATGTTGCACTATGGAGCTTTATGCACCTTTGTCATCATGGAAACAGCAACTACTCCTTTGTCTTGGAAAATAAAGGTCCCAGTTTCAAGACATTTTGCCACACAAAACACTTGGCCAGGTTTAGTCACTGAACTACTTGGTTTTAGGAAAAAAACACTACTTGTCCATGAAGTGCCCTCCAATTGATCTAATCAGTCTGAGCCGAACCAGCTGACTTCCTATTGGCTCTCCACACACCTGAAAGGGCTAAAATTAAAAAGGTTCCTCTACACTTCCCACATGATAGTGGACGGAATAGATCAAAATCCAATAATAAGAAGAGTCGTTTTCACTGGGCTTGTGATACTCTTCCTGCTAAGACATGTTAAATGACAACTGTGAAAAAGAGCTACTGATGCTATATTCTGAAGATTTAAATTTGTGTCCAAATGTAATTGTTTCCTGTATCCTGTACTATGTGCTACATCAAGGTGTAAAACATTCATAAACATTAGGTAGTAATACATACATACTGCTAGCATTTATGGTTTCTATCATGATTGGTACTTATTCTAACAAAACAACTGAATCAGTCATTTAGTCAGCAGGTTTACTGTTGTACTGTTTTAACTGTGCTGACAGGCCGAGTGAGTCACATATGAATGTGCTCATCACACCATCTTTGCAGGTTTTCCAGATGATGGGGAGTTTGTTGCTGCAAATAAACACACACACACACACACACACACACACACACACACACACTGGGCCATGCATCATGCTGTCAGATCATGACTTGGCCCTCTCAATACACATCACTCACATCACTAAATGTCTGTTTAGCTTTCTGACTAAAACAATACAGATTGTTGTGATACTAGAGAACTAACTGATGGATTGATGGGCTGACAATGTGTTGCGGTATGAAGTGACAAGGGCTCACCAAGTGGAATCAGTGCCTGTTGGCTCCTGTAAGGATCACGTTGGGGAATGCTCCCATGATTATCTGGAAGGGCAAATCGGCATCTCTGAAATAGTTCAGTAAAAACGATAAGTGTGTGGTCCTGCCTCCTGACTAAATCATCTAGTGTGTGTGCTCTTAAGATTCAAATGTGAAAAATCTGTTAAAGCTGTCATTATGTGTGTGGTCTCTGACGTTTTTAAAATCGGGTTAAATTATAAAACCCTCTAGTGTGGGCCCAGCCTAAGATGTCTAACTGCTTTATTTTATTATTTTTCAAATATACAAGAGAAAGTGACAATGGTAAACCCAAAGTTTCATGTTGTTCATGGGCACAAACTGCTTCATCTGGACTCAGAAGCTTCCAAAATAAAGATAATTCCTCTCCTCTTCTCTTCTCTTCTCTTCTCTTCTCTTCTCTTCTCTTCTCTTCTCTGCTCTTCTCTTCTCTTCTCTTCTCTTCTCTGCTCTGCTCTGCTCTGCTCTGCTCTATAAATTCAAAGGAAGTGGAAAGACTATCCTGCTCATCTTTGGACGCTGATTGCTTATTGTGTAAAGATGAAGCAGGCCTTTTGTCTGCATGATTTGTTTTAGGTTCCTTTCCATGAGCTGGAAGTGTGAGCAGTTAACATAAGATAAAAGCGAACTGTCCGCTCTTTAACACCTACCTGTCACACCCATGAGGTGCCATTAGGCTACTCACTGTTAAATGCCTTACAATTCCATTGTAATGATGTACTACTTTAAGTCTTGAATGAACTTTGAGCTAAGAATAAGAATTTTTAAAGCCTTTTGATACATCTTAATGAATTCTTCCGTTTTTTTTTTTTTGCACATCTGCGTTTCTCCATTAAATCATCGTTTGGGGTCCTGTTGCTGTGCCCACCCACAATGGAAAGAGTTCAGGGAGGGACTTTGCCTTTCAACATTTAACCAGTGAGCAGTCGGGTCCCAGTGACACAGAGGGCTTTTCAAAACCTGAAAGTAACCCAAATAAATGTACACTGAGCTGTGGATCCCTCACGTTTTAACCTCACAGATGGAAAGAAAACGCGAAGGAGCGTAATGATGGATGGATATGCGTTTGATGCGCTGCACGGAACTTTAACGGAGCTCTTCACTGCTCAGTCAGCTGGATCAGGTTTTTGATAAATGTGAGGGGAAATATATCAGAGACTGCTGGTGTGAATGGACAGGTCAGGAGCGCATATGCAACACTGTAGGAGCCCCCTTGGAGTTATTTATCGCGTTCTTCTGGGATTTATCTGCCTCAAGAATCCGTTTCTTGATCGGATGAAATAAAAAGGAGAATGTATGGAATAAACCGGCGCTGTATTTACATGTAAGACGACTTATGGGACTGTAGACGTGATTCCAAGACCGATTGTATGATTTTCACAAAATAACTTCTTTAGAATAACAACTTTTCATTTATTGTTACTTCTGCAGATCATTTCATTTTTTCGTGCTGTGGTGCCATGCTCAGGTAAGCCAACCCTTTGGTCAACGTTGATCATTTGCCAATATAAAAAACGTGTTTAGGTAGCAAGAGAATAAAGGCGTGAAAAACTGTAGTAACCTGCTTCTGAATATCGCATTTAATTATGAGGATATTTAACCATCGGGGAAATTTCGATTCATACCTGCTTTGGTGGTTATAATTGGCTATAGGCTACATTTCTTTATCCCAGATTAGAAAGAAAAATTATGAATTTTATTTTTCCCTTTACATAAAAAAGGGGGAGAATCACCCGTCTCCTAATTTTAACCAGTATGTGAGGACGCAGGGCGCAGTGACGGACCAGCTCAGCCGCAGACAGGTCCGGATCTACCAGCTCTACAGCCGCACCAGCGGGAAGCACGTCCAGATTCAGGGCAAAAGGGTGACCGCCACAGCTGAGGATGGAAACGTGTACGGTAAGAGCTGTAAAACATTTGGCTATTACTGTACTTTCTGCTGTGGAGTTCTAGCACTGGAGCTCCACAAAAACTCTTCAGCATTTTGCTAGAGGGACTGCAGTTCTGCACACTTGAACCAACCAAAAAACCTTGACTAGGCTATTATTAATTATTAGATTATTAGATGTTTTTTTTAATTAGGGACAAAAGCAGCTTTGGAGTAGCGTCGTATTCCCATTACACTGCAATCCAATGTTTAAAAACACCCAGAAGCTTGTTCTGATATTCTGAAGGCACATCCAGAATCCCCACAAACTCAGGTCACCCACTGTATGAAAAATATTGGACTAGAACATATTTGAACATATTTAGCTTTATTTAACATATTTCTACAAAAATATACACTGTATTGGCAGGGAACATCAATGAAATATAAGCAACATTTCATTTCAAAATTTGATTCATAGACAAATGTCATTTCCCACTCTTTGTCTGGATTTGGAAATACAGTCACAACCGGGTAGCACCTCCAGTATGATGAAGTTCAAACCGTCAGGATTTTTGGCTGCATATTAAATGTGATTGTTGCACAGATGCTAGCTCTCATTAAACAAAGACTGGTCTGCAATAAATGATAACATTTCGTAAAGTGTCATCAGAAGAATGAAGTGAAAATCTTGAACTGAGTAACAGTTTTTTGGTCCCACACTACAGATACAAAGTCCCTGCTGGGGACTGATGTCCTCAGGCACAACCAGCAGTTTCACCTCCAGGCTGCTTGTCCTGTGTGAGCTGTTTTCAGGCCTAGATGTTAATTCAGCCTCCCTGCTGAATCCATGAAGCCATTGTCTGGCAAATTAGTGGCTGATTAGGAAAAGGGCTTTGTCCTCATAGCTCCAATACACAAGACGAGCCATTGGCCATAATTAACTGCGGGACAAATTCAATTGAAAATGTGTATTCTGCTTCCAACACAGTGCTTTAATGTCCACTGATAACATTAGTTTAATCATATGGTGCTGTAGGCCATTTCCAGAGGCTTACCTGGGTCAGCGTCTGAAGGCTTGTATTAACTCAGCATTTCAAACAGTGAAGCTGTAGCTTCAGCTCAACAGAGACACTGTTGGATGAAAAATGACAATTCACAGATAAAAGCAAACTCTTATATAGTAGCAGGAAACACAACAGGGCAACATGTAACCTCTTTTCAGCCCGCACTATTTTCTTTTATATACTGTCTATTTAAAATACATTTTTAAAAATATATATTAAGAGACAAAAAAATGTTTGTGTTTGTTTTTGTTCTCCTTTTTCTCCTTCAGCTTCTTGACTTTCTCCTCTTTTTTTCTGGCAGCTCGCCTATTTGTTGAGACAGACACCTTTGGCAGTCGAGTGAGGATAAGAGGTACAGAAAGTGGCCGCTACCTCTGCATGAACCGGAAGGGGAAACTTGTTGGAAAGGTACAATATATTTTCTGGAATTTTTATTTGAGAGCAAGGACATAATTGGCTGCAGATATTGAATGTTTACATGTCTACGTGTCATTTTTAGTTAGTATGGGAAGGTTTTTAATCAAAACTGTGACAAAATGTAGTAAAAAGCAAACTGTGTTGCCATTGTATGGCAGCATTAAGTAGCAACAGCCTTTTGCTGAGACAAGGAAAATTGGCTCAGACAATCTGATACATTAAGAAAGAATTAAATTCCACAATGTGGCATTTGTTTGAAGAGTTGCACCCTTTACAAACATATAGATAAAATGCACTCAGAGCCCAGCAGGTGTTTCTAACAATCTCTGCTCTATGAGTGGCTCTTCACTGGAGATGTCCTTGAAAACATGCAGAAATTAACACTAATGGGGAAAACAACGGTCATGTATGAGCTCTGTCTTCCTCTGAAAAGTTCCAGTCTGTGCCTGGCCTCACCGTATCAGATCTCACATCCACTGCCACAGACACTGTAGCTCCTACACTAAAACTTCAATCCATTGTCACTGTAGTCTCATAGCCTGTCAGTGACTCCAGGACATGATGTGCTGGAAAAAATGAACCCTCACAGGACTGAATGGTCATCACTCAGTCTTACTGGTCATGGCTGACAGTGAGGAGGGGAAAGTACCCTCCCAAAATGCACTGTCTGTGTGTTTGGTCAGAAGTCATCTCTGCACTTCCTTTATGGAAATGGAAAAGATGGATCCAGGCATCAGGCTGACATGATAAGTCATTGTGGTGTAGAGGTGTTGAAGGTGTGGCTGCTGTTATAGTGGATGATGAGAGATGAATTCACTCTGCTAGATTCACATCAGACAGTTTATGGGTCAAGATCAGATGACTCTTTTGTAGAAGTCAGCAGATGAAAAT